CTCTCTCTCTCTCTCTCTCTCTCTCTCTCTCTCTCTCTCTCTCTCTCTCTCTCTCTCTCTCTCTCTCTCTCGGGCAAAGGCGCTGGGGCCCAAGCAGACCCCATGCCTGGCCAGGTGGCCTCCAAGGGATCAACTAACAAGGAACAAATCTTCCCTGATCCCCAGACGATGGGGAACACACCTGGGGTCTGCCTGGAGGAGCGGAGACCCGACCCCAGGCCTGCCCAGACTCCCTTCCCCTGCCTCCAGGTGAGGAACATTCTGGGGAAAAGTTTGCTGAGGATCCAGAAACAGACGCTTATGGAGAATCCCAGCCTCCGGTCGAATATAAATGGCTGCCGCCCAGGCCCTGGGCTGGGTGAGCAGGTGGGGGCCGACCCCGTTTAGACCCTTCCCCAGGGTCTGCGGGCACTCACCTGAGTGGCCACCTTGCCGTAATCAATCCACCGCAGGGTGGCAAAGTTGGTAGATTCCGCGCAGTTGAATCCGTGGTTGAATCCGGCGTGGTAGCCGTAGGGGAACGTGATCATGAACTCCCCAGCCTCTTGTGTGATCTGAGGGGCAAGAGGCCAACAGGTGAGGGGCGAGGCCCGACCAGAAGCAACGCCCGACACAGGGCATCACGGGCTGATGGCAAAGCCACAGGAAGCCACCGAGGAGCACAGCAGGGGGATGTGGGCTCGAGGATGTCCCAACAAGTGCCAGGGAGCCTGACTTTAGGAGCCAAAGGAGTCGGCCAAGTGACAGGCTGTGGCCTGGTGCTCGCGTGGCTTGGAAAGTAGGTGAGGCGAGGGGCCAGGGCGGCAACTGGGCTCCCAGTCCCGCCGCTCACTGAGACCCCACCGGGCCCCGAGGGGACAGTCTGCACTCTCCAAACGGGTGAGCAGCAATGCTAGGATTCTAGGTACTTCTCGTTTGGCGGGGGGGTCTCCTGCTTTGGGGGTAGGTGGCCTGACAAGCCTCCATCCACTGTGAGATGTTCCCACATGGCGCCGGGGCTGGCGAGGAGGGCCGGTTGGCACTGGCGGAGCTCGGAGCCCTTGGAGCCCAGGGCGGGTTCGAGCCGGCAGCACGGCGCCCAGCCCTCGTGCGAGGAAGGAGCAGGCCCACCCCCAAAACGTCCCCAGAAGCTGGCCTAAGTGGCCCCGCCACCGTGAGCAGAGAATCTGTCCACTACAGCCCAAGACATGGGTCCTTCCAAGTGAGGGCAAAGAGACTGAAGTGACACGTCTGTGGGCCGGGAGGACACGTGTCAAGGTCACGACAGTGCAGGACGAGCGCGTGTTTCCAGGCCTATTCAAAATGGTCTGGACGGCCAGACTCTGGTCCAGCCTCTGCGACAGAGAGCCCAAACCAAGAAGTTGGGCGTGAAGGACCGGGGTGGGGGACCCACAGTGATGCCAGACAGAGGCTTCCAGAGGTGCCAGCCCGAGGCCTGGAGAAGGAGGCTGCAGCCTCCTCCCCGGGCCCCGCCCCACTCCGCACTGACTACCCCTGGCCATCAGCAAGCGCTCCAACAGACCAGTGTTCCGGAAGACGGATGACAAACAGCAGCGGCCACCATCCCCACTCGCTGTGTCCAGGGACGTGAGGCGGGGCTGTTGGACTAGAGGCTGTGACGCGGGAGTGACCCTCTGGGGTCAGGAGGGCCAGTCTTCTCCTAGGCTGAGCACATGGTGCACATCAGGTTGTCTGGGGTTCTGAGGACGGGGCCCCAAACGCACCCGCCCCCCAGCCCCTCGACGATGTTTCTCTCTAGGGTTTCACGGGCACGGACCGCGCTGCCCATGCTCTGCGTCTGGCCTCTTCCGCTCGGCACATCCTCGGGGTTTACCTGTCCCGCTGGGCACATGGGTCGTCTGCTCCTTTTCGTTCCTAAAGGGGTCTCCTGCTATGAGGATGTGTTGCTATTTGCTCACCTAGCCTCCTGTTCACAGGCCTGTGGCTGTTCCTGGTCTGAGGCTCTGTGAGCAGAGCTGGGGCCACCTGTGGATTCATCTTCTCCCGGTGGTTGCTTGCACTTCTCCAGAGTAAACAGACTCCGGAGGGGGCATCGTGGGGCCCCAGGAAACTGCCCAGCGGCTCTTCGCAGGGGCTGCCCGTTTTGCACCCACATGGTGGGAAAGGCGAGTTCCCCCTGCCCCCTCGGCGGCATATGGGGTATGGGGTATTCGCAGGCAGTGGCCCTGTGGGGTGGGTGTGATGCTCCGGCCCCCTCCCTGAGGTCTGTGGATGCCGCCCACTGCGTCCTGCCGGCGCCTGCGCACGCCTCCTTCTGCAAAGTGTGTCTGCTCAAGCCTTCTGCCCCACTTAGAGGCTCTTCACCACTCTGTCGCTGATTTGTAGTTTTCGGGGCTTGCTAATAACCCCAGAGAGAGGAGCAGAAATCGCTGGATTCATCTAAGTAACCAACAAGGAGTCAAACCCTGGCAGGGGAGGGTGGGTGGCAGGGGGTGGCGACCGGGGGTGGGGTGAGGTGGAGGTGGAGAGACTTCCAGAAGCCAACCACAGAGTCAGAAATCAATCAAAACTGACGTAGCCTGGAGAAAAGCCAGTCCTTAAGAACACGGAGATATTTTTCTTTTCAAATAATGAATCGTACCCATCAAGGGAAGTCAGTGTGCATTAAGTAATATTTTTAAATTCCTGTCCAAGGGACAGCCGCATGCGGGGATGAAGCGACGGCACAAGATGGGGGAGGAGGGGACATGCAGTGTCCCCAGGGCCCAGCAGCCAGCATCCTCGTTCTCAGGAAGGGTCCCCTGGGCCAGCTTCTGCTGCAGGACTCGGAGCCTCGTCAAATGAGATAAATAAAATTCGGGTTTGGGGATGTGCTTTTAAATGCAATTACTGATGTTCTTATCCTACTTGAGCTGATTCTGTAAAGTGCTATCTCGCTTTCCAGAACGCCTCCGTGCGTGCACTGGCCTGCTTGAGCCTCAGGGACGCAGCAGGGTCCCCGTCACCGAGCTGGAGCCCCCGTGGGGAGAGGCACACTGAGGGCCTGGTCCCCCGCCCGATCCGGCCCATAAATCAAGGCCCAGAACAGAAGATGTGCTCACTTACAGCAACAAGAAGATTATGTCCCTGTCAGAAAATCTACATCCTGGTGGCTCCATTTCAAACCCACGGTGTCTGTCCTCCGTGTCACCACCGTCAACATTAGCCCAACAATAAATTAGAGGGCGCTTGCGATGACGGATAGGCCGTGACGCAAAGCAATCAGTAGTGGAGGGAGCGCCAGCCCCAGACGCCAGTCACAGAGAAAGCCCGGCGGTCGGCTGCTTGTGTGAGCTCTCCAAGAATAAATGAGGAAGTCCGTGGCAGATCACAGAAATACACACTTTTAATTATTAAAAAGCTCTGCTATCGATCTGCGTTTTCTTCTAGAAGTAAATACCATTACAAAGATTTATAAGCGGAGTGCGGGGCGTCACTCTGAAGGCCGCCAGGAATTCAGAAGAGGGGCTCCACGTGGAGCCTGACGCCGCAGGGCCTGGAGCCTGGTCCTGAGGCTGGCGGCCCACGGAGGGCTCCCTGCTGCTGGACAAGGGCCTTGGGACGAAGCTCTGTCTGGGCCCCGTGGGCAGCCGCTGTGGCTGCGGAGCCCGGCCTCTCTCCAGTCACCAGCAGCCCCTCTGGGCCAGGAGGCCGCCGCCGCCTTGGGTCACGCTCAGGCATTTCGTATACAAGCTGCGGGGCCACACTGGCACTGACCCAGGAGGACAAGGGTACCCGCCAGCTGACTCCTGCAGCCAGCATCCCTCTCCAGGAAGCACCACTCTGGAGAACGTCCGCAGCAAAGGGACGGGAGAGCAAGTACCTCTCCCTTCCGCGAGCAACGCCGTGATCTGTCTGCGAGGTTCCTGGCAAAGAATGATGTTCCAACCAGAAGACGGGGGCGGGTGGGGTGGGGTGGGTGCGAAGAGGGAAGCATGGAAAGCTGCGTTTCTCAGAGCAAAATATCCCGCTACCTAATAAGCATGAGCAGCAGCTGCGGCCCTGAGAGAAAGGCGAATCCCCGATCTGTGTGCTGATGCTGCAGGCGGTTTGACTGAAACGTCAGAACAATTTCTGACCTGCTGACACCCTTGGCCAGAGAGAAGCATGAAGGTCCGCCCCCAGAACTCGCTCCTGCGCCTGACGAAGCGCTCTTCGGGGAAACCTGCAGAAGCCGGGTTCCCGGACAGTCCCCTCTGCCCCCTGCCCTCGGTGCCACGGCCCACACGCCTGTCCGGTAAGTTCCGGGCACAGGCCTCTCGCCTGGACCCACGCAGGGACCGGAGCGCAGACTCCCCCGTCCAGGAGGGCTGTCTGCGGGGAAGGACTGGCCTGGAGTGACGACGGCTGGGCCCACTTCCGGGGCAGAGGCAGCCTGGCCCCCGGTGCTCAGCCCCCGCCCGCCTGCCCTCTGCAGGCAGTGGGGTCCCTGCCAACCCGGCTCCCAGCGTGGCCTCACCCCTCACAGCCCCAGGTGGACCAGTGGAGCAGCCTCTGGAGCAGGAAACTGCATGAGTTCACAGCCTTCACGCTGCGAGGGAGCCAGGCGTTTCATTTCTAAACAGGTATTTGCTCTCTCAAAGGCGTCTGCCCGGGCATGGGTGGGCGGGAAGGGACTCTCACGGGGAGCGCCGGCTCCTCAGTGCTTCCTGCTGGGTCAGCAGGAGCTGCCCCGACCGTCCACTCCCCAGCCCGGCCCGTAGGACCTGCCGACATTCGGGTCTGGGCGGGAAGGAAAGTCAAGGCCCCTCCTGACGGCCCCTCTTCCATCCTCACTCCCCACCCTGGAAGAGCTGGAGGCTGACGGCCCTGCCCTGGCTTGCCATCGTCCCAGAACCTTCTCCAGGGTTAAGACGCCAGTTTCCTGGGGCACTCGTGGTCACCAGGGCACGGGCCACAGAAGCCCCTCCACGAGCAGGTGGTCTGTGCCCAGCCCCTACGTACCCGGCTGAATGGGATCCCATACTTCTTGAGGATGATGGGCGAGATGAGGGTCATCTTGTGCCGAAGGAAAGCGTCGCAGCCCTGGGAGCTCCCGGGGAAGAAGCCTAGAGCAGAGAAGACCAGCATCAGCCTGGCGGGACGGGGCGGGGCCTGCCCGGCGGGACAGGGCAGCGGGGCAGCCCGGACACCTGTGACACCTCTCTCCGGGCAGCCCTTTCCTCCGAGGCCCCGAGGGAACGAAACACACAGGGGACTGCGGGACGGGGTCCTGAGTGACGAGGGGCGCACCCACAGCACACACCCGCGGTCGCAGACAGGGTGCGGCTGCCCAGAGACCGCCGCTCACCCTGAGCTCCCCCCGGACAAAAGCCACTGCGTTGCTTCCACACGGTCACTCGGCCACGTGAGAGCGCAGCCCTGACACAAGACAGGGGAGCCGCTGCTCTTGACCAGACACACGGTGACCACGAGGAGTGAGTGGGGTCCCCCGCCACCCCCCAACACTGACGAGTCCGCAACAAAGAGGGGAGCCGCCTGAGTGGCGCAGGCTCTTCACCCACGTGGTCCCACCGCCACCAGGCAGGTGAGGACACAGAGGCCCGGGAGACAACCCACCCACCCTCAGCCCCAGACACACGGGACCAACGCAGGCCGCGCCCACAGGCCCTAACCCTCTGTCTGCGCTCACAGCCCCTGCGCTCTCTGCCCCACGATGTGCCACGTAACTAATTTACAACAGGGGTAGCCTCCGCGAGCCTACAGAAGGCCCACCATCAGCTCTACCTGCCCAGAAACCGCGCTTCACTGACGCAGCTCAGGGACGTTCCCACATCACCTGCTGGCTGAAACTCAAGTCAATGACACGCGTGTCTCGTGGTTAAGAAAAAGCCTGTCCCAGGTTCTGCCCATGGCGGCCAGGCGCCTCAGCTCAAACCTGCATAGAGAGTGGGCACAGGAGGGCTGCCACATGGCTCCTCGAGGTGTGGGATGAGTCCCCACGGCAGCGGCACCAGCACGCGCTCCCGAGCGGCCACCTCCCTCTGGGACTGATCCCCAGACGCAGGCAGCCCCAGGACCCTTCTGGAAGCCAATCCAGACCCAAGGCCCAGCCTCCAGGCCAGCGCATACCCTCGACGGGCTGCTGGTTAAAGAGGGCACGTGTGTGTATGCGTGCGTGCGTGTGTATGCGTGCGTGTGTGCGTGTGTGTATGCACGTGCGCACCCGCGTGGCCCCACCCACACGCCAAGGCTGGAGGAGGCTCCTAACCGCAAGGACACAATGGCAAGGCTCTGGAAGGTGCCAGGGACGACTGAATCCAGCAACTCTGCTCTGCACTAAAAGCATTTCAATTAGAGTTACGGCTGCCTGCCGCCCGGCCCGCCAGCCTCTCTGCAGTTCCTCTTTTTAATGCACAGTTTAAGTGGCTCTCATTAAAGCTCTAATAAAGAAGCATATTTTAAGTGATTAGCACCAATAACGCGCCAACACATTAATGCTCTCCCCGTGGGCCGCACAACTCTCCCAGCGAGCCCATTCGGAGCACGGCTATTCATTTTCCATATTAATCGCAAACCCATTCCACCCATCTCAGTAATAGAGCCCCTGACGCACACCCCCCAAAAGTTTGGAAGGGACGCTTAGGAGGGCAGTGAGTCACTTGCCCTGGAGCCTCCCCCATCCTTCCTCCGAGGAGGGGAGAGCAGTCCTGAGTGAGGGGCTGCAGAGGAAGCAGGAGGCTGCCGCCCCTCCTCCAGAGCTGACAGCCCCTTTCCTGAATTCCAGGAGCCGCTTGACTTAATGAGTCTGGATTTTTCAAGAAGCAAGGACGGGGCGGCCTCCCTGCTAGCCGACTCTTCCTCTCCCAGCCCCGGCCACTGAGCCTCCCTCAGATGCCCAGGAAGCGAGCCAGCATCCAGGTCGGGGCATCAGAAGGGACCTGGCAGCAGCCCCGGCTGCGGGAACGGAGCACAGGGCGAGCTCCAGGGAGAGCGGCTGTGGCACTGTCTGGGGTCGGCGGGGGGCCCCAGAGGATCCTGCATCCGGCTTCTCTTGCTTCTCCAGTTGGCGCTCTGATCACCCAAAACTTTTCTAGTAGAAAAGGCATACTGAGGGAGAACAGCCGGGCATGGCTAAGTGCAACCCCCTCTGAACAGGAAGAACAGAGAAGCTGCAGGCAAGGCCCGGGGGCGTCACGGACGTGGTCCCCAGAGAGCCCCGGCACTGATCCCCGCGGCTCTGCAGGTATGGGGGGCTGAACAGTGGCCCCCAAGGCGTCCATGTCCCGATCCCCACAACCTGTGGAAGGTCCCCTCAGTGGTAAGAGGAACTCTGCAGACGAGATAAAGTTCAGGTCCCTGAGATGGGGATGGGCCTGGACCACCCAGGGGGCCGGTGTCATCCGGAGGGTCCTTATAAGAGGGGGTCAGAGGGAGACTCGACCACAGACCAGGGAGACAGAAATGAGAGCGACACGGCCCCACGCCCAGGATGCAGCCCCTCCAAAGCCATAGAAGCCAGGAATCGGGGTCTCCTCCGGGGCTTCCTGAAGGAGCCAGCCCTGCGGATGCCTTGGTTTTTAGCCCCTAGAGGCTCACTGTGGGCTTCTGACCTCCAGAAGCGTAAGAAAATAAATCTGTGGGGGTTTTAATTAGGTTTTTTTGAGTAGTTTAAGGTTCACAGCAAAACTGAGGGGATGTGTGTTGTTTTAAGCCACTGAGTTTGTGGTAACTTGTTACATCAACAGGAAGCTAATACAATAGGAAAAGACATTTTTAATTTGCATTTTAAAAAACATAATGGGAAAAAAATTAATTCGGTTTTATTTTCGAGCTCAGTAAGTTAAATCAGCCCCTTGCCATGCCCGCCTGCACTGGAATTTCTCCCGGGAGAAGCATGTTCCTGAGAGCGGCTCCAGCCCTGTCTATGAGGTCAAGGTCCAAGTTTTCAACATAAAAGGTGACATGACGATGGCCTCTGCAGAGGAACTGGGCCTGGGGGCACCTGCTCAACTCACCTGACGGCCTCCCTCCCACCCGGGGCTCTGTCGACCCCGCCAACCCGCAGCGAGAATCTGCTGGGCAGAAAGATGGGCCGTTCCCAGCCCCAAGTCAAGTGCAGGCAGGGAGGCGCCCACAGAGGCCGGCAGCCGGCTGGCAGGGAGCCTCACCAACACCAGGCCATGGCTTCGGAAGGTTCTGTGGCCACCTGGGGGTGCCGGCTGCCTACTGCTGCCACGGGCGTCGGGGTGGCCTGAGGCCCCGTGCTATCTGTGCTGCAGACTCTCACCCTCACCCGGGTGCTGCCTGAGAGGGAGGGGCTGTTCTTGGCTGCACAGCGAGGGCCCGCCTGCTGGGCCAGTGGGGTCTGTGAACGTCTGTCCAGGCACTGACAGCCGTCCGCCCTCAGGACACAGGTCTCCGTGGGGACGGGACAGGTGCGAGATGAGAGCGATGAGGGTCACAGCCCGGCCCCCCATCGGGGTACACAGAGGCCTCCGCGCCCCCCAGCCTGGGTGTCTGGCTTGTCTCTAAGGATCCCATGCATGCCCTGAGGGCCGGCCTTTACCCGGGTGGTCAGAGCCCCGGACACAGCCCGGGACCCTCTCCGACAAATCCTGTCAGCCCAAGAGGCCCTAGCGAGGGTCTCAATCCAGGTGGTAGAGGGAGCCTGGGTGACCCGACCCTGCACGGGATTAGCAGATGGCCCTGCAGTCCCCGTGCGGCCGCACGGAACAGGTGCAGACCTCCAAACTGGACTTCTCGTGTTCTAGACTGAGGAAAGAGTCCATAAAGACAGAAAAGTGTGGATGCAGCACCAGGTGCTGGGTGGCAAGAGGAGCACGGGCTGCCCCCAGCCGGCAGAGCCTGCGGTCCTGTCCTGAACTCTGGGCCAAGAGGCTAGAAAATAAGAGTGTTGAAGCGACAGCATCCGTGTGGCTTTCGTGAAGTGACAGACCCACAGCGGGGGTCCACGACCTGACCGCCAGGGAAGGGAGTGGAACACAGCCAGGACACCTGGAGCACGTCACCCTCCGGGACACCGACCCCCAGACAATAGTGTGAAGTCGGGGAGGGAGAGGCCGCCAGCCCACCGCCCACCCTGGCCCCAGTGGGCCCCAGGCACCTACCGATTGCCAGACGCTCCAGGCGCTTGCCGTGCTCTGGGGGGATGGCGTACCTACGAGAGAAGGGAGGCACGTCAGAGGGGAGAGTGTGTGGCCACTGCACAGCTGAGGGCCCCAGGAGACACGCGGGCCCGGCACAGGGCAGAGCCGGGCGGCTGCGGTCGGCATGGGGGGCGCTGTCGGGGTCGGGGGATGCCACACGGATGGGAGGAGGGGTGAGGTGGAGGCCCAGGACCCAGGACTCGGGGGGCAGTGGCACACCCTCGGAATGCCAGGAGTGGAGACATACCCAGTTAGGCAGCACTAAACCTCAACGAGGCTTAGAAAGCAAAGCATAAAGTAAAGAGCACTGGATTGGAACCAAGGAGGAGGACGGAAGCATCCCGGGCTGTCCCCCCAGCCCCAGGAGCCGAGGGGAAGGAAGCTTCAAGAAGGAGCAAGACTTCACTCGTCACCCACTTTCATAAGTTGTATTTTCACACGTTTTTACATTTGAAAGATGACTGCGGCTGTGTCATAAATAAAAAAAGATGTAAGGTGAAAGTCTGCAAACAGATGAAGCGAGAGTGTCACCCACTGATGTGAGCCAGCGTGTCGGGATACCAGAACGCTTTCCTGGCAGAGGGCGGTGCCAGGAGGGACAGCCAGGGCCCAGGGGTCCAGAAGCCCCAACCCAACCGACGTGCCACCCCCAGACCACCCGAGGGCACTTGGGCAAGATGGAAACCTCCATTTTCTTTTTTTTTTTTTGGCTGCACCACGAGGTATGCGGGGATCTTAGTTCTCCGACCAGGGATCGAACCCTCGCCCCCTGCAGTGGAAGCACAGAGTCTTAACCACTGGACCGCCAAGGAAGTCCAGGAAACCTCCATTTTCAAGCAAAGGCGGGGCATGGTAGGGCCACTGTCCAGAGGAGGAGGGAGGGTGGTACAGTGTCCAACAGTAGAGCTACTAGAGCATCCGAGCCCTGTCCCATCTGGGAGAAACTCCAGGATCCGGCAATCCTGCCCCCTGGGAACACTGGGCCACGTCTGACACATTTCTAGTTGTCACGACTGGGGGAACGGTCCTGGCATCGAGGGGGTGGGGGAGGGATGCTGCTCCACACCCCACAGCGCCCAGGATGCGCCCTAGTAGAGAATGACCCACCCGATGTCAGCAGTGCTGCAGGGGCCGGGGACCGTGCTCCAGAATAACAACGGCAATCTCTGGAATTCTAGAACGAGTCCACAGGAGGATGTTCCCCACGGCTGCGCCCTCCTCCCCCACAGGGCAGGAAGCCAAATGGGGAGGGACATGGAACATGGAAGATCGCCCAGGCTCGGTAGCTGGCTGAGTCCACTCCAGCTGAAAGGTTTATCGTTACTTTTAATAAAATAAAAGGGGGCAAGGGTAGGAGATAAGGTGAACATTGTGCTGTCTCTAATCTAACAGGATAAAAATAATTAATTTCTGGGCATGTTTCAGGGCCCTGGAGGTGGCCGTGGCACCTTTAATTCTGCTGTCATCAGAGAACTGCCCATTATCTGGACAAAGAGGAGGTGACTCTTTTTTAAATGGCCTTTTATCACTTACATAAAGATGATAAAAATTAATCCCAATCCAAAGCACCTCTGTGGGATTAACATCCCCCCACCCAAGAGGGAAATGAAACATTCCGTCCCTTCTGGGAAGATGCCCGAGGACAGGAAGGAACTTATGGCTCCAAGGCTGTGATGATTAACGCAATATCGCCAGTCTACAATGCTGCTTTCACTTAATTACAGCCTGTAATTGGGAGTTGTAAAGATAAGATTAATTGAATCTGGTGGATGTTAAAAGTTTAATACATTGGAACGTGGCTCCTCTGTTATCGCAAAGTACAAACTGCAAGACACTGGGCTGAGTGTTCAGAAGACCAGCCCCTGGAGAGATTAGAAAGGACTCGTGGACGGGAAGCCGGCAGCCATGGGGGACATCTGGACTCCGACCGCCAAGAGCACGCTGCGCCTCCCACGGCTTGGAACGACCCGGCGACAGCCTGGGAGATGCTGAGAAGCCCCTGTGCTCCCCCAGCCCACACCCAGGGACTCAGCAAGCTGAAAACCTCAGACTTCAGGGGAAGGCGGGCAAAACTGGGGTCCTGGTCCTTAACGAAACAAGCGCTGAGCGTGGGCCGTCCATTCAAAGGAGGCAGGGAGGGCGGTAGAGGCTCCATCTGTGCAGTTGTAACGGCTCCCCGAGTTCCGCTGGTCTGACAGCGATGCGGGCGGCAGGTGCCTACAGAGCCCCCTCTCTGCCATGGCCCTCCCCTCTGGGGCCCCAGGCAAGCCCAGAGCAATGGAGGCCCAGGTGAGCCGGCCTCCCAGCAGGGCCGACATTCACCACTGAAGGAAAGTCCCCAGACAGAGGGGCCCCCATGGCAGAGCCTTGCATAGTCTCCAGCCTGGGGCCGGGGCGCGCTAACCTTGTTACAGCCCCGCCTGGCGTTACACCACTGGGTCGGGGCATCCCTGACTCTCAGGCTTGGCTCTGGGAGGACAAAGAAGAAGGCAAAGCAGCTCTTTGGGTTGAGCAGGGCTGCTCGCTAACTCTCGAGGTAGGCAAGCGTCTGTCTGGCCATTAGTGAGCAGGTTCTGGGGCCGTAAAACAGAGTCCGTTTTCCTGGCCGCCAATATGGGGGCAGTTTGTCTTGCTCCCTGGGAACTCCGTCCCCATCACAAGGTCAAACCTCACGGCCAAAATCAATCTGCTTTGCCCGCCTGCGACCCCAGGCAGCTGCTCTCTGTACGTGGCAGCCCGGGTCGCCTGGGCGGCAAAGGGTGCTTGCATGTTCCCTTGGACAGACGGCCTGCCCGGGTCCACGTCCATCTCACGACTGGGCCGGTGCGAGGTTTCCCAGCCGGTGGTCAGCCCTGCCCAAGCCCACACAGAGCCCCTGTGGCTCCCCCGTCCCGCTCTCCGCCAGCACGAGGCTGGTTTCCCACATGTCCTGCTTCACGGTGGCCGTCTCCTTGGTCCACCAGCCCCCGCCTCCCCCTGGGCTGACCACATCCCACCCCCAGATGGCCCCCGTCACCATGCTCCTCCCCGGGGACTGGGCTGCGGCTGGGTGCCTCCTGGTGGTCAACTCACTCCAGGCCAGCACAGAAGTCACGGCAGAAGAATCTGGACGTGTCGGATACAGGAAAGGGCAGAGCCACTCCCAGAATCAAGGGAGGGATGGGAGGGACAACAGACCAGGGGCTTCAGGGGGCAGAGTCAGAAATGCGGGAAACCCCTTGGGGGAGTCTGCAGAGGGTCGGGCAGCCCACGCGGGGTCACACAGGTCCCTCTGGCCACAGCGCACGAGCCCCGGTCCTGAGACCGGCCAGGCAGGACCTTCTGCACACATTTTACCAGCCCATCATATGCGCCCCTCCCCCTGCCCTTTCTCTCCTCTGGTCAACGTTTTACACAAAGCACTTCTGGATGACACTCAACCAGAAAGTCGTGGAAAATTCGGCGCTGTCAGCTCGGTGTCCCTGGCAACCGCTCCAGGTGACCCCGCGGAGGCTGCAGCAGGACTGGACAGGCTCCATAACTCCGGGTTTAATGTTGTGGAATCGCCGAGGAGGCCGAGAGAGACGAATTCAGGCATCGTTTGCCAGACACCTTTTTCAGAAAGGCAGTCGTCTGCAAATACCAGGGGCTTCGGCGAGAAAATAAAGCAATTTTAGATCCGCTATACAGTCCAGGAGGTAACGGCAGAGGACACGAGACGCATGCAAAGCCACACAATGGTAAAGAGACCGTCCCAGTCCAGAAGTTTCACTGTTCAAACGACCGGCTGACGGGAAGGCTTCCAGAGGTGACCAGAGTCCAGAGACCACGTTCCAGAAGGAAGTGACCCCTTGGTCTGGGGAGAGATGGGAGGGCTGGTCCTGCCAGGTGGGCATCCCCCAGCCTCTCCTTTCCAGGTTTCTTCTTTTACACTTGATGTCTGGAGTAGTGGATGCACCCCCTCCCATCATGGCCACCCCCAAAAAGGCAATGTGGAAACCTGCACACCTGGCATAGGCCAAGAGGGAGGCCTGGGGCCAGAGCGGCCAGCGGTCGGTCCAAGACCTGCGTCCTGACACGTGTGCAGGGGTCGGACGTGCTTACAGGGGGCCAGGGACGGACTGAGGCTGGACGTTGGAGGGGTGCACCCCTGGCCAGAGGTGGGCATCCTGCGGGCCCTGCTGAGGCCAGGCCGGAGTCCAGTCAAGAAGCTCTGGAAGCCAGGGGGCCGTGGGTGCTGTTTGGGCAGAGGCCTCAGTCCAGCGGGAGGGAGGCTCTTGGGCCCAGAAGCAGAGGTAGTTGAAAGGAAACACATCCTCTGCGGGCAGGCTCTCGCCTTGGGGAGGGGACAGGCTGCATCCATCCTCCCAAGACGCTGGCCTGGGAAAGGCTTCCTGTCTGCAGTGGAGGATGCTATTAATGGTGTCATTTTCTTGGTGTTTTGTTTATTCCCCTGGAATGGCTTGATGGATGTGAATAATTATCAGACAATAAAAGCCAGCAAATGTGCTATTTTCTATTGCTCTAAATCATCAAACAAATAAAGTGTGAAACAGCATTTCTGAATATAATTTTCCCCTCTAATGGCTTAGAATTATTATCAAGAACAATGAAAATAAATAAGTAAACGCCTTGTGAGTTAAAAATTAAATGAATGTGTCAGGAAGAGGAACATGGGCCATCGTGGAGAGCAGGGACCTGCTCGGGGCCATCGGTTCTGCAGAAGAAGCAAGGGGCTTCAGGCCATGCAGGAGCCCGGGCCTCTGGGTGTGGACTCCCACCACCCAGTGCCTTCTGGCCCAGGGAGTGGGTGCCCGGGACCACCTCCCATGGGGGAGGGCTGTGCTGAGTGAGGGGTGTGCACCACGGCACCTTGCGCCCAGCTGACCCCCGGGAGGTGCAGGGAGCCCGTGCGCCATTGCCCTGGGACGGCCACAGGAGACCTCGGGAGGCAAGGCGGACGGGGCTGGCCGCTGCCCTTCCCCTCCCGGGCCGGGGACAGACAATGCCAGATGGGCCGCTGCCTCTCAGG